GGAAAGACAAATAGAGGTGCGGGCTCTCCCGCGTGGCGGGGGGGGCCTACCTCGGTTGGCAGCGCACATGCGGTCAAATCGAACGGCAGCACGCCGGCAATCAGCAGGTTCAGGACCTGGGACAGGCAGGACAGGACTCTGTTACCAACGTCTTGGCATCCAGCTCGTCGAGCACTCGGTTGTCTAGAAGGACTTGCACGCCAGGCTTCAACTCTTGGTGCACGTTTCGGAGGCTGACGGAGAAGCCCAAGTTTCTAGGGCAACGTGCCAGGGGCCTTCATGTGTGGGAGTTGATAGACTTCGTAGCCTGGTGTTTCGAGTCTGAGGGTAACCTAGCGAGTACAATATCCGGAAAACTCACGGCTGTGCAACATTTTCATACTTGTAGGCTGGAAGCTTCGGTCGAGCTAGACTTGTCGTCTCCGATGTTGAAATGTGCGCTAAGGGGGATGGCGAGGAACCACGTGGCTATGGGGACGGTACGCCGTGTGCGCCTGCCTGTGTTATGGCGTATGCCGCTGGACGGGGAAAGCGCAAGGCAGAACTGGGGGGAAGGGGGCAGAGTGATGTGGCTGTGTCTGTGCCTGTCCTATCTCTTCATCACACGGTCTGATGAGGTGTTCGCGAATGACGCGGGCAGGGTGCATGAGGCACACCGTCTTACGAGGGTGGACAAATCATTGTTTGCCGACGGGACGCAACTAGACTTTAGTCACTGTCGTAGAGCAGACCGTGTCGAAATGAGGTTTAGAGGGCACAAGGCCGATCAAGAGCAGAAAGGCAACATACGGGTTCGTACGCGAGACGAAGTCACCGGACCGCAGTCAGGTGTGAGAGCACGCGGCGGCGCGGTGGCTCTTGTGGTGGAGCTATTGTCGTGTCATGCGACATTGCCTGACTCCGCTCCGTTGGCTCCGTACCGTAGTGGAAGAGCAGTGAGAGTAGTGAAGTATAGTGCTGCCCTCCGTGCAGTAAGAGAAGTGGTAGCAAAGTCGGGGCGTAACCCCCAGGAGTACGCGTTGCACTCGTTGCGAATTGGAGACGCGACGGCTCTTGCATCGGGCGGAGACATCGCAGAACGAGTGATTCAGAGAGAAGGGAAGTGGAGGTGGAATGCCTACAAGCCGTATGCGCGGAACAACGTAGAGGATTCGCGGCGAGTGTCACGGAACTTACAGACGGCAGCAGGATTGTATTGAGACAGCCGGGGGAGGGGACCGTATGGGGAACGCATAGTTGAGTTATTCGGTAGTCGTCCAGAAACTGACCTCGATGTGGGTGTTGTAGAATGGTGTGTACCATTTGAGGACTTGGTCAGTTTTGGGACTCCTGCGGTTGCAGTCGTAGTCCCCCGGCTAGTATTTATGGGGAGAGAGATGGATTTGTAAGAGTTGACGCCGGCCTTCGCAGCTAACGCGGCCGGAGAGACGATGAGCGTTTCGTGCGTCTCTCTCCCCAACACGTAGCCTAGAAACCGAAGAAATAATGAAGCAATTCGAAAGAAAACAAAATAAAAGGAAGGCTTGTTCGAAGAGCAGATAGAATAAACTGGTGTTTATTTTGTAACAGTCGAATTAGAATTTGGCTTCATTTTCTATCGGAAACCCAGGGTCACGGTGTTTGGATTTATTATTGTAGTCTATAGGTGGGGATGTCATTCCGTGATCGAGTCCACGCAGGGGCTGTAGCAAAGTCGGGTAACGTGTGAGAGCTACAGAGCGCGTGAAGCAACGGAAGGACAGCAGCAGCCGCCTAACGCAGTAGCGGCGGCAGTTTAGAAAATCCCGCCCTCCCATCCCTTTTCTTTCGAAGGTGGGGGCATAAGTTCAGGAGTATTCGGTATCTAGTCGGGTGTTGTAGAATGGTGTGTACCATTTGAGGACTTGGTCAGTTTTGGGACTCCTGCGGTTGCAGTCGTAGTCCCCCGGCTAGTATTTATGGGGAGAGAGATGGATTTGTAAGAGTTGACGCCGGCCTTCGCAGCTAACGCGGCCGGAGAGACGATGAGCGTTTCGTGCGTCTCTCTCCCCAACACGTAGCCTAGAAACCGAAGAAATAATGAAGCAATTCGAACGAAAACAAAATAAAGCATGCATATATATATATGCATGTCAACCATGCTGGATCGGTCTTGCTTTCATAGCGTGACCCGTGCATCTCGGACATAGACTGCAGCAAGCAGTAGTCCACGGGGTATTGTACGCATGTATGTGTGCATGTTTCCAAACGGAACAACTGTGCTGGGGTGTTGCCCGCCCATTGTTGATTTAGAGCGGAAGAGGTGCTGGTTGTTGGTGTTGTTTCGCAGGGCCGAAACTGATTCCTGTCTCGTTGCCATGGTTGTTATTCGGCGGGAATATTCGGCGTTTGGTATCCCATGGGTGGAGGGGAAAAGGAGTTGGGAAGATTCCTGCGGGGGAAATGATTGATGAAAGGAGGGTCTCTTTTCCCGTCAGGTCAGGGTACATCATCTCCGAAAACAGGGTACAGCAGTTGCTGAGAAAAGTAGTCACGGCAGGGTATACCCTGCGCCTTTTCGGACGCACCGGGGTGAAATTGGGCGCTGACCAATGATATGAGTGCATTTACTGCTGTTAATGACTGTGTACCCAGGTGTGTCGCTTTTCGACCAGGGTATACCCTGTTGTGTCGTTTTCCCAAAAAAACGTTGCGTGCGCGCGCCGGTTGAACCACAGGCTACTAAATATACCAATTGCGTATGGTTGAGGTCGTACTCGTCGGGGGGCTTTGTCTTCACCTCAGCGAATAGGGTGAGTAACCTGGATCCTTGAAAATATAACTAAGGCCCAAGTAAGGCCTGAAGACTCTTAGATTGTAAGACTATATCTGTACCTATAAAACAAAACTTTGTAGGCCGTCGTCGTCGTCGTCGTCGTTGTTGTCGTTGTTGTTGTTGTCGTCCCTTTTCAAAAACGCGCTGTTCGATGTTTCAGCCTCCGGCTCTTTCGCGAGGAGGGAGACCAAGGCACACAAGGTGCTGCGCGCCGTGTCTCGCGCCCAGCGCACAGCACGGCCGCGACGGTGGCGCAGTGTGCGTGAGAGGAGGTGGCGGCGCAACCGGCTGCGGTACACAAAGAATAGGTCAAATCGTTTTGGGGAGGGGGCTGCTGCTGTGTGCAGCTGCTGGACTGGCAACCACTTTGCTCCATGTGCAGGGTGGGCTACTTCGACCTTGGCAGGGTGGTGACATAGAATGGCGGACGAAATTTATGGTCCCACCCTGGCAAAAACAACAATAAGGAAGGGTATACCCTGTTACCCTCGTCGCATGGTCACAACCCTCGGACAGACCCGACAGGGTCCCCAACGGGGGCACCGTGGAGGTTCTGGCAATGGTAACCTCGGCGTAGGGTTAAGCCGAGGCTTCACTGAACATTTAGCATTTTGAGCATTCATTTTCTCTATTTGTTTCGTATTTGGGGTTTTAAGTCCGGGCAAGCAGCCCCACAAAGCTGCAACCCGGACTCCGGCGCGGGACATGTTGACTCTCACAATAAATGAACCACACCGGGCGGGGGCCGGTGGCTTCTGTGTGACTAAAGGAGACGACAAATTACATCACCATCAACAACACTGGACAAGATATGTACCACAAAAATAGAGTACCCTTATCGGTTATAAAGACCCTCCCATCTCACACATCCGCATCCGTACCTCACGGTGGACACATTTCGCGCGACGCATGCATTCAGCTAGACTACTGTCGTTTTAGAAGGCGAAGTAGAGAATCACTTGATATTCCCCACAAAAAAAACGCTCTACGCGGACTGGGTCCCAATTCCAAGAGGCCACCCACAACAAATGACGAAGCATGGCATGCTGGGAGCACTACAGCCAACACTACAATCTCCCACACAGGCTGTGACAGTATCAGAGGTCAAAGTTCTCTCCACACTACTACACCCGTGCCAACGCACACATTTCTTCAAGACCTGCACAAGACTCGCGAAGAAAAAAAACGCACGCGCGACAGACCAAAATAGAAAGCCTCTCTCTGCCCGCTAACAGCTTTTAGCGATAGAACCAGCCATGAACACCTTTATCCCAACAACAACGAATCTTATGCAAGGATCATTTTGTGCCCCAAGATACGATGCAACGCGTGAACACATGACCTGACAACGTCATAGAAAAGCACGCAATCAAGAGGAGGAGCCGCCCGCCCCACAAGCGCATGAGCCAAAACACTGCCACAGGTTGTGACAACAAGACAAGAGAGGAAAAAAACTTTCCCACATCAGCTACATATGCTACAAAGCAACCGGCGCGTATGAGCTCCCCATCCACACCGCAACCCGCCCCCCGTTATCACACGGATAAGCGAACAACCTCGTGGTGCACACCATGAGTGCAGGATACCCAAAGAGTAGACGCGACAGACAAGACCCAAAGGCGAGATGCAACAAGCCGAATACTACCCACACAAGGACCCACGGATCCTCACGAATTTCAGCAGAAAAATCCGATGCAACAACAACCCAATATAGAATGCTCTACCAAGCCTGCACAATAGTGGACCTCCGGAGCCCCCCTCTGTGTATGTGAAAGGGCGACAGAACAAGTCCAAACTAAACTTTGCGAACAGCTCGTGCCCCACTAAGAACCTACAGGAGAAGAGCAACAGCGCAATTGACAACCCCAACGCAATTGACAGCCCAAACGGGGGGAACTCGCGATTTCACTCTGCGGACTCCTCAATTACACCCCAAAAGACGCCAAGAGCACACCAACACAACTTATTCTAACCCGTCACACGTGCCGCGAATCTCCATATGCACGACCGTCTGTGAAGGGCAGACAGAAATGTTGAGGAAAAAGACCAAGTGCGTGGTTCGTCGTCCTAAAAGGCGACCCAGGGAGGCAGGCCCATCCCCACCGAAAGCCGAAGGCGAGGACGGCGTGGGAAAACCTGAGCTCAGTTCATGTCGGCAAGGAAGTCCTCGAGCTCCTCGCCATCCAGCTCGATGCTGTCGCCCCGGGGGAGGGTCTCTATCTACTACATGTCCTACCTCCTAGTCCTTGATCTTCAACGACAGGACAACTTTTCCGGGGTCACTTGTGGACCCTTGCGAAGGAAGCGAACCACCCGGACCACGCCAGCAATTTGGCAGCAAATTGAGAGCGCATCATAAAATAACTCTTCACCCAATGACATTGCATGAGAGTGATGACGCCACACGCTTCGATTAGATGACATGGCACCGACTCAACACGAACATTGCCTACTTCGTTTTTCAAGCCGAAAACGCATTCTGAACCATTTGGCGAGGTGTTCTGCAGGCAGCTACTAGTCTACGCCATGATGATCTCAAGCGAGAGCGCTGCGATGATGGTGGAAACCGCAAACAACGGTCCGAGCAGGGGCTGGGCCGCACGTGACGAGGAGCTCGAGTCGCTTCCCTCCTGAGAACCAAGAGGCGTGGTGTTGGGTGGGGGGAAAGGGGGGATATTAGCACGTGCTGACCAGTGGCACGCGGTATGCGAGGGGTGGGATTGTCTGTTGGGTTCAGGACCTAGCCGGGGAGCAGGGAAAGACAAAACGTACCTAAGGCCTGAACGGGTGACGACGAATTATGATGAACAAAAACCCTTACTCGGAGAACAAGGGCAACAGAACCGCTAGAAAATTGACACCTTCTATCTACGGTCCAGGGGTTCACCCTCGCCCGTTCGTTGGTGGTGTGTGGAACCTCCTCGTGTTGTTTGTTGTACGCCCATCGGTACAGCTTGTTCGATACAGGTTTATTTCTCCAATACTTGGTCGTGTACAAATGGTCGAATCTGACAATGAATCCGTGTTGCGCCCCACCTCCTCCCCGGATAAGCTCGAGGTGCACGTGTCCACTATCCCGAACGTGCGGTTGAAGTCGGAGTCGGCTTCCAGCTCCTCATAGCCCAGAACGCCGCCATCGCACGCGAAGACCCCGCACGCTCCCCCGTCTGGCAGTCTCTGATCAGGATAGTAGAAGATGAAGTTGACGCACCTGCGCGTCGTCGAACGCACAAGAGGAGAGAAGGAGTCGTTGGTGCGCAGAGTTACAAGCAGCAAGTTTCTGCATAGACGCTCACGTAGGGTCGAAAGGTGTTGTAATACGCAACGCGCGGACAGCGGTTCAGGAACAATACCTCCTAGCTCATTTTTGCCAAGTCGGGGCCCTAACAATCGCCAGAACGTGAGCGGCTACGAAAACAACAACAAGTAAAGCGCCCGAGCGACGTGATCACATGGCAGCCAAGAGGACGGACGAAATCTGGACGAACCCAGGGTCGACAGGCGAGAGTGTGGGTTGTAACAGCAGTTGCGGTGTTCACGGAGCGGGTTTTGACTACATTTTGGATGCGAAGCGGGGTGGTCTAGTTGCCGCTCTGCGATATTATTTATCAGCTTCACAAAAGCAATTTCCCCTGCGGAGCGGTTTAGTTTCGGCTCTGCGACGTTATCTATCAGCTTAACGAAACAAATTCCGGCCCCCACCGTGCTAATTATTCCGAGGAGAATAACGCTCTGCTAAGCCCCTTGGGAAAACACGAAAACCTCCCGCGGTGCCGCTCTCCTCCGTGAATATCTGGCCCTGGGATGAACGCCGTTCCATTCCAGACTCACTCACATTTCTTGTTCCGACCCTAGACCGAACGTGACGTTGGCCGAGCCTACCGAAGAGAGAGACGTGTCGTACATGCACTGCGTCGTGAAACTGTCTCCTTTCTGGACAAAATTCGATCGTAGGCGCGCAGGGACGGGTGGAAGCGAGGTCAGGTTCAAACCGAATATTGCCGACGATAAGTGCGTCGACCGATGGGACGGTGGTCTATTTCTCGGACAACCTGGGATGGACTGGCGGGGTGAAGGCAAAAACTGAGACTCGTCCCTTCGGCGTACACCAGGATCCAGGGATCGTGGTACTGCTGTAGCGTTGTGCTTGACCAACCCGACCACGGAAGGAGACCTCACGAGTCGACGCCAGTTGGGGATGGATCTACTATGCAAGACTCAAGTCTCGAGAGACTAAACACCATCATCAACCTGTTCGCTTGTGAAGCAAGTCTGAGGCACTATGATCATCTACCCGCTGTTTCGTCGAGAAAGTCTGAAATGTCGTCACACAATCATCCGGTTCACGCACTTTGATGGTGGCGCTGCCGTTGACGGTTACCACGTGCGCGCCGGCCTGCAGGGAGGAGTAGTACCAGACTTCGGTCGTGTGGATCAGCTCCTCGTTGCCCTCGCCGTCGTCCCGGTACTGGTGTGTCACCATCCGCTGCCCGTTCTCGTGCATGTGGAGCACGTGATTGAAGATGGTAACCTCCTCTTCCTGAGGAACAACAAAAAAGAAACAACATATGATTGTGTTTCGACGGAATATCAAGCATGATGAGAGAGAAAACGAATGAGGACATAGGCAGGGAGGAACTTGTGGGTGGGATCGGTATTGTTACAACTCCCCGGCATCTCGCGTGGGCAACGGTTCATCGCACGGGTGCCACCTTAAGAGAAGAGAGATGTGTTGTTGATTCAAGCGGCGCGTACATTACCCACGCCCACAGAAGAGAGAGGTAGTGAGTAAGCCATGCGGAACACCGAGGGGTCCCGACGTGTCAACACCTTCTCCCTATCACGTACCAAGAGACCCCGCAGAGTACAGACCAAAAACGAGCGCGCCGTACCTCACGTACACACCGAACAAAGACCCCGCACTCTGTTACGAGGGAAGGCGTCTGTGTCAGTTGGACTATTAGTACAGATAGTAGAAGGTACACAGGGGACCGGAACGATTTGTTTTACGTCAAGCCAACAACAACAACAGCAGCAGCAGCGACAAACAGTGACAACAACTCTGTTTGCGTCTACATACCTCGAAATTTGTCTCGGAGCAAGTACCCGGGCAACCAAACGAGAAGCTGGACTTGCCGTCCGGCAAGGGTTGGTCTGAGAGGGCGATGAACGGATCTCCGAGCTTCAGTACGCCCATCTGGATCGGCCGCAGCTCCTCGGTGTAGTACACGCGCACGCCGGAGCTGTCGTTCTTGCCGCTCACCCCGTCCGGGTTGTTGTAGTGGGTCTGAATATTCAGGGAGTTGAAACCACCAGATTCGTTGCCTAACAGGAACCCGACGTCGCCGGGCAGCTCTAGGTTGCTTGTTCCCGGAGCCCATACGAAGATGTCCGCTTGTTCGCCGTAGTTGCTGCAGAAGGAAGGGACGGTGATGTTGAGATTTTCGAAGTACTCGGTGAAGGACACTGACGATGAGTCGTCCGAAGGATAGGAGGAACCAGAGGGGCTCGAGGACGAAGCGCCTTCTTCTCCTCCTTCGACGGTGGAGGAGGAGTCAGAGCCGTCCTCGCTCGCAAACATTTCATCCAGCCACTCGGAGCAGGCCTTCCCGCAGTCAGATGCACCATAAAACCCGGTCAAGATGAGGTGATGCACGTACTCGGCCGTGTCGGCTTGGAGCAAGCCTTCGAAAGCGATGGCGTGGTACTGGTGGGTGGCAAACCCGGTGGTCAAGGGAGGCAAACGCCGGGGGGGGGGAGGGGTTGAGCGACATGAGGATGAGGACAAGAGCAACGGGGCGGGGAACGAAAAGAAGGGACGCGCTCAAGAAATTTTGACGGTCGGAATAGAAGCCGTGGACGTGTCGAGCCTATGTACCGATGGGACTAGGTCAGAGTGGCAAGCAAAACGTGCGACGCTCCGGCCGCTTGCTAGTGTTGCCCCCCATATCTGACGCAGCCCCAAAATTTTGAGTGGGGGCTGGCGTATTAGTGCGAAAAATGTACGGTCGGTCCGATTGCACTACTGTCTGTCTCTCGTGCAACCACGATCCTTACGCGGAAATTTACCTCTTCCACGGAAAATTAGATCTTCCTCGGAAAATCAACTCTTCCACGGACATTTTCCTCTTCCGTGGAACTTTTGGTCTTCCGTGGAATATTACCGCGTCCATGGAAATTTACCGCTTCCACCGAAATTTACCTCGTCGAGGTCTGGTAGTTCCGAGGCCGTGATACAAGTGTTCTCGTACCAGGTGCGCACAGTCGGGATGGAGAAGTTTTTCTGCATGTTTTCAAAGCGGACGCGGCGGCGGGCCAAACACCGCGACGGGAGAAGCAAGACGAGTTTGTTCCCAGGGAATTGGATGAAGCGTGGAAGGGTTAATGGCGGTGAGCCAGGGTCTGATGCACACAACACGGTCCGCTATTTTGCATGTTTACGGTGCCGTATTTTCCAATCCTTCTGTAGAGACCACACAGAGCCCACGCGTTCTCGTCAAATATACGTTTCTGTGAGAGGGGCCGAAACGCGACCTTCCTCGTGTACCTCAACCTCGTTGTTGACGTTCAGGTAGCACATTTCTTTGGAAGGGGTGGATCTGGGTAGGCGACCCCGTGTGTGGCGACATGGCCTGTATACATAGCGATCACAAAATCGCGTGACACCGCTACACCCTGACCAGTAGCCGCTGTACCTGCAATAGCGACCTGCCCTGACCAGAGACCATGTTCCTCCTGACACCAGGAGTGGCTAATTGTTTCAAGTGTTCGGCGGGTGACCAGACGTTAACACCGTAGCAGCCCATTCGTGTGAAGGTACGAAGACGTGCTTCCAAAATATCAGGGCATCCGTCGTTATCGTCTGCACAAGGGGATGTTTGACCGGGGCCAACTAGTTCTTGTCCCCACCCTGCGACTCACCGGCGCCGCATCGAAGAACTGAACATCCTCGCTAGTCTTGACGTCGATCACCGGATCGGCGGCATCATCGTTCTCCGATCCGCCGAACATGACGACCTGCCCCTTTGCGAAGTTTTCGCCGTGGTAGCCCACGGTGTCCGAGTCGCCCCACGCGGTGAGGACTCGCGTGGGTATAGCTCCTGTGATGAAAACACACAACGGCGGTACATGTGGTCTTTACCTCTATGGCGTGTACATCTTCAAGACAGACGTCATCAGCAGTAGCGTTTTGCAACACGATCATGGTACTGGGCTTGATTTCTCCCTAGACATTCGTCTGCCGCGTGACATGATGGACTACTGCGTGTAGACCGCCATCTGGGGACCGAGCCTTCAGCAGCCGGGAAAACTTCGGACGGCAAACCTCGGCTAGGCGGTGGCGGTTTCGCTGCTTGGCGGCGTGATCAGAGGAGTAGGGGTGGTTGGTTCCGTGGATACGGTTCGAGCAACCGGGGGGGGGGGGAACACACAGAGGCGCGGGTCTCTCCATTCTCCCAAACCCGAGGATCACACGTAGCCCTGCAATCTTCCCTTGATAGTAAGCGTAGAGGGGGAGCTCGAACGGTCGGGCTTCAACCTGCCGAAGTTGAGAATGCCTTTCATCTCGAAGCTACCTTCCAAGCTGCTGGTGACCAAAACCGTGTCAATACCACAACGCAATTCCCTTCGCACCATCAGGCACTCCACCATACAATACCGAGCGGTCAACTCCGGATGTACCGTTCCCAACCAAGGACACCCTTAGTCCACGCGATATCGCTCTATGGCTAGGGTGGGGAGAGCTGCCCTATTGCTTGGCACACTGTGCTTTAACTTTCTCGACATGGAGCAAGAGGTACTGGGGTATGCACGGTACACGGGCCCGCAGTGAAGAAAAAAATGTCGTTACAGCAAGAAAAATGCGCCTTTACTTCTCTATTGACAACGGACGAGACTAACCTTACCCAATGTGGTTCTGGGATGTGAACGTTGGGCTACAGGACGGACCCGCAGTTGAGAAAAAACGCATTTGCATTGAGAAAACAAGACGAAAAATCTTCACCCCGAAAAGCAACAGGATGCGTGTAGGGCACACACACCTACAGCTCAGCCGGTATCTTACACTTTGAACGACAACCTGAAAGAACTCTACGACGGTGTGGTGACGAGATGAGATACTGCCTCGACGACCCGATTTCGACGCTTCTTTCGTCCCCGGAACCCCGCTGCCCCAAACTGAGCATCCAGCCGTTTCTTCTCCCACTTTACGCAAATATTTGGACACACATTTCCTTCGGCTGCTGTGGCTATCGTACACCTCAAACAGATAGTACTGTAGTTTTCTGTGATTTTATGCACATCCTCGAAAAAAACAACTCCTCCTACCGTCGAAGCTGTCATCGGAAAAGACCCGATCTTGATCGTCTCCCGTGTCGAGGGCTCTCTCCGCCTCGAACACCAGGCTCCCGTCTCCTACCTCCGCCGACAGCAAGGTCCAGTCTTGCGTGCACTCGTCGACGACAGGCGTGCCCGCCACGAGGGAGTAAGCGTCGGTCAAGTTCCCGGTCTTGACGCGCGTGGGCAAAATTTCGGGGGGGGGAAGGGTACTCATTTCTTGGATGCCTTAGCTGTCAGCCCATTGCCCCCCCTTCCTCAAAAGGACGGAGCATTTTTCCAACAGGCCCAATCACCGATGGCCAATCCCCCCTTCCTGCTTTGCCAAAGGTTGCTTTAAAACGTTGTCCCTATACTATCTATCCTGGGGGAGCGGAGTGGGGGGGGGGGGTGTTGTACAGAGTATGCATGCTCACTCGCCGTATTTTTTGCGTCGAGATCGGTCCGTCACGCGGTAGAGCTACCGATCACGTTGCATCATAATCCGCTGCTATATCTTGGGTGCGCGTAACTAAACAAAGACATCAGTGGCGTAGGGTCTGGTAAGACTTTGTGGTAGCCGAGAACACCGTTCTGTAGCCATTCCGGAAACCAAATACCTTTCCATGGCAGAAACCAGTTCCGGAAACGTTCCGGACTTTCCCCGCGAACGTTTCTGAGAACCGTTCTAGGAAAGCGTGCCCGTTCTAGTACGAAACGTTGTACGAACCACTGCGGAATCTACCGCATCCGTCAGTAGAAATGTTCTCCATAATCCTCCTGATGTATTGCTATCGTCCATTGTTCTTGAAGTTGCGCCTACTTCTTCAATCACTTATCATACCGAGTTAGGTTGCCATATCAAGTATACCGAAACCGGTATTGTTTCGTGCTACGAAATCGCTCATGTATGTAACATCGTATACTGCTGTGTTGTATTGACGGGAATCCCTAAATAGTCTACAGCAGCCTTTTGCTCAGTTGGTGCTGATATACTCCGAAGCAATTACAGAAAATGGGTGTGCGGGGGGGGGGTGATGTTGTGCATACTTGCTCACTCGCGTGTTTCGGATCGAGACCGGTCCGCCACGCGGTAGAGCTACCGAGGACGTTGCATGCATGCATGTTGTTGCACAGAAACCGAGGTTTGTCGCTCGAAAGTGCGCAACTAATTATCGACCACACGAGGTGTCTTGCACACAATCATGACGACTGACTATTGCTTTCTGTCGTGCTTAGGGAATGGTAAAAACTCTCTCCCCGACAACAAACATCCATTATTCTCTGTCACGAGCAAGCACTCACAGCTGTCTCGTAAAACACAATGTCGGCGCCCTCCATTCCCCCCATCTCAGAGATGCCCACGCCCGCCCAGCCCGTGGCAGCTTTCGCGTGCACGGCCACACGAATGGTTTCGGCCTCGAGATCGACGGTCCAAAAGATGTCCACGTTGGTGTCCAGCGAGACGTTCCTGGCGTAGGAGGAGCCATCAAAGTCATCTACGGCGGCAACAGCCTGGAGAACAAACAAGCCGCAGAACAGGGACACCGCCAGTCGTTGCCTCATGCCGTGGGTGCTTCCAGACCGCAACGATTTCTTCGCCATCTTCCTGTCCGTCTGTGCCCATGCATTCGCGAACGAACGAGCAGGAGAGATCAGCAAACAACGTTGATCACACGGGATGAAATAGAAGGAACGATGACGGTGTTCCCTTGTCTAGCGATGAAGCACCTTGTGATACTGAAACACGGCGTCCACATCCCAGCCGTGAGGCGTGGCAGAGCCAGCTACGTTGATGTGCTTGCTTTCCCTGTAACTCCGAACGACCGAATGGAAAAATGGGATACGCAATCGTGCAAAGGAACCACATGACCAAGCAACAGGCGTGTACAGAACGCTCCACGAATTAGAAGTTACGAAGTTGAGCCTACCACATTCCAACATCAAACAACTTGGCCATAAGAACAGGTGCTCAGTTCCGACGTGGTATCAAGAACAAGAACCCGCCTTCGTGGTGTATCAACGCACATACATACAGTTGAGAACCGAGCCCTAAAACAAGGCGGCAGCAGATGAGCACTCAGGATAGTGGGGGGGGACCCCAACAGTGATTGGTTTCAGATTGGGGGCGGGAGGGGGGGGGGCGGGAGCACCTCGTGAAATAATGCTTGTACGCGCGGGGCGGTCTTTTGTATGCCATGGCGGTTAGACCATTGACAACGCGTCCTCGAGTGGACGGAGCATTGGTCCCATAGGGCCGATCAAGTACGGCCAATCGCTCCTTCCTACTTGGCCAAAGGAGGCACAAAAAACCTTTTGCTTTATTTTGGCTGTCGTATCGACATCACTTCCCGCCTCTTCAACACACTTGCTACGCACCAATCAATAGAGCTACTTACCGCCTTCTCGTGGCTACATTCCATGCGTCAACATCTGCCTGGACCTTCCTTCTGCCAGCTCGAGCAAGTAATTCTTCTCTCCTTTCCGCAATTACATGACCTCGTTCTTCGCGCTACAGCCGCATCCATATTTTTCAGGGTACACCTCGGTACTAGTTTTTTAGGCGGATCCAGGCGGGGCGGTACGTCAATGTGGCGATACTTTTTTGGCGGTTGGCGGTATTTCGTTTTCCGGCGGTACTGCCTTTGGCGGTTCCCGGTACTGCCAATAATGGCGGTACATTTTTGGCGGTACGTCAATATGGCGGGTTTTTTTAGGCGGTTCCCGGTACTGCCAAATACGGCGGTATTTTTCTGACGGTACTGAAATATGGCGGTACCGCCTTCGGCGGTTCCCGGTACTGCCAAATATGACGGTACCGTCTTCGGCGGTTCCCGGTACCGCCATAGTTTTTTGGTGGCGGTACTGAAATATGGCAAACAAATTGACTGGCCGCGGCCCGCATCTACCATGGTGCGAGACTCGCTTGAGGATTGCAGCTCTAGTTCCCTCGTAGCCACCGATTCCACATCCACAGAATCGCTCCCGTCCACAGAATCACCGGCGGCACGCGCCACCGACAAAGCAGCAGACCCATCTCCTACACTACTAGTAGCACCGGGATTCCCCTCTAACGCGCTCATTGCTCTGCTGGGCGCTGGGGCAACTGCTGCGTGTGTGATGTGTGTGTTCGAACCAGCGCTTTAAATAGGTGTTGCGGAGTTGCGGAAGCGCAACAATTGGATGGATATTGCGGCTTGCCGCAACGAAACATTTTAGCCCGCAACACGTTCGCCGTAGGCGAAATATTTTGTTGGGGGGGGTCCATTTCGCCGTAGGCGAAAAATATTTTTCGGGCCCTTTTCTCGCCATTATTATTAAATAACAACACTATTTTTGACGTAATTTCCTTTCAAAACCAAGTAAATATCCAAAAAAAATCGCCTCCGGCAACACGCCTGCGGCGTGTTGTTGCGGGAGCCTGGCGGCTCCGCAACAGCCGCTTCGCGGCTACTTAAAGCGCTGGTTCGAACAGCTGACGATCGGCGACAGATGAAAGAGGTTTCGCCGAAAGGAACAAGGCAGAACCAAAAAAAAAATATATATATATATATGTATGACGAAAGAGAACAAGAACAAAGAATAAATGTGAACAATGACGCACGCCAGTTGGACTCGAACCACTTTTCTGAGCGAGACATGGCGTTGGAGTTAGTGCCCTATGCTACTTTAGAGGGCAAAACTGTAGTATGGCGGTACGATTTTGGCGGTACTGCAGTACGGCGGTATTTTTTCGGCGGTGGTACTGCAATATGGCGGTTCTTTTTAGGCGGTTCCCGGTACTTCGTGTTTTGGCGGTACCATTTTGGCGGTACTGCAGTACGGCGGTACTTTTTCGGCGGTGGTACTGCAATATGGCGGTTCTTTTTAGGCGGTTCCCGGTACTTCGTTTTTTGGCGGTACTTTTTCGGCGGTACTGCAATGTGGCGGTACTTTTTAGGCGGTCGGCGGTTTTTCGTTTTTCGGCGGTACCGCCTTCGGCGGTTCCCGGTACCACCGAATGTGGCGGTAAATCCCGCCAGTACCGGGACCGCCCACCACGGCGGGAAAAAAACGGCGGGAATTTTCCCGAGGTGTACCCTGATATTTTTTAACTGAGGGGAAGGGGCGTTGCCCGATTTCTCTTTTGTACTCGTAGTGTCACGTTAAAATCCACTGAGAATGACATGAACCCGCGGCATGGGGCAACCAGCGTACATGCATACAAATAAGCAGATGAAGAGCAACAACCCCTCTCATCCTAGCTAGGCAGATGCCTGAACTACAGAAAATAACTTAAATTATTAGTAACATAGGCTCAGTTTGGAGGCATCCAACCAACAAGCGTGGAGCCTTGCGCAAATAAGTGGACGGGTGTGCGCCTCTTGCACGGACCCGCCCACTACATATGCGTACGCTTCTCGGCAATTTCGACACAGGCTACGAAGAAAGCCAACGGGTGATCCGCGGACTTCCTCTAGATTCGGCAACTACCGTAAATGACACAACATGACACACCACCTGGACCGATTTTCAAATCTCGATTCCTCAACAACAGAAAGAGTCACAGCGCCGAAAACGGTGGCGTTGAAGCAGTCTCGTCGAGAGCTTTCCGAAAATGTATTGTTTCATTGTTTGTGATTTCCCTTCGTCGTGGTGTAATCGAGCATTGAAATTCGTCCAGGGGGTGTGTTATCATGTGTCATAATATGTAGCAGTAACTCCAGCGGCATGGCAGGGGTGCTCGAGGTTTGAGAGGGCGGCAAAACTTGAGCATACAAGTTGTGGCAACTGACTGACGACTGCTGTATTCACTATTCACGGTCGAAACGTACTTGCACCCGCCTCTTGCATCATTTGTCTGGTCTACTGCTGTAGACTTGATGTTATTATTGTTGTTGTCTTCACATTTAAAAACGTTCCGATCTCTCTCTACCCAGTACCTTCGTATGTCCGTACTGATCCACCACTCGACGTGGTCGATTCCCGTGGTCACAGGTTAACTTACCCTAAAAAGGTACACTCAAATATACTGGCCCCGAGGGGTCCGTAAGTCAATAGAAATCAACGACAGATATTCTGGAATCCTCCACTCCCTCTGCGCGCTATGCAAGGTATCAACGGAGAGTAGGAGTCACTATCATGGGCCGGAGAGAAAGAGGTACACCCCTTGGTTTAATCTTGGTACTTCACAACGCAAGCAGAGACAAGGCCATCTGGCACAGAAAAAGAGAGAAAAAATAGAGAGAAAAAGAGCAAAAAAAAAATATTTAACACACACCCACATGCCGGTGATGAAACCTCAACCACACGCCTCTATCGGCGACCACGTCATCAGGAGGCAATGAATGATGAACGAATGTTCTCCCGTGCCATTTGCACATCTAACAACACGAAATTTCACAAAAAGGTAAGAAAATGGTGAGACCACTCCCTCCCGTGTGTCCGCACATACTCCGAAATGTGTCCACACATACATATACACACTGAAAACCCGGTACATACGCGTACCACATTGAAAATACGTTTGAAAACTGAGGGAGATTGCATGCCCTACGACTAAAAGGAAGGGTGCCACACACAAAACGCCCGACCAGGACCCAACACATACATATCCTCTGCACCTTCTCAACATAACATACCTATATATGAGACACACAAGACAGCTACCAAACTGTCTTGTTGAGCCTGTTACCCGCAGGGGAGATGTGTCTGGGAAATCGTAGACATACAGGTGCTTTCTGATGCTATGAATTCATTGCTAATCTGTCTCAGACTCTTTTCTATGATAATAGAGAGAGATGGATTCGTTGTGTCATGTCAAGAAAAAAACAATTCATTCTTTTGTCCAGCAATTCCTGAAATGTTGTTATGTTGTGTTCGTACACCGTAATGTCTTGATGATCAATAAGAACGCTGGTATGTAATTAATGACGTCCCGTTGAAATTGCTTTTTGCGCAATACCAAACCTGCACACACTACTTTATTAGGAGCTTTATAGCTTATAGCGAGGCACCCGCGCATTTGACCGCGAAACCGCAAGGGGGAACACTGAAAATGAAACGTGTCGAGAGCAAATAAGATAATCGATTTCTGTGCACCTTCCATGAAAAACTCCCATACACCCAGGTGACAACGGGAAAGTTGGGAATTCCGACGAATTCCGCTGAAGAAGAACCAGAAGTCTGCACTTTTTATTTTCTCTTCTCCTTACGGTTTCCATTTTTATTGTTTCTCCTTTTTTTTCTCTTTGTCCTTTTTTCTCTCTTTTTTTTCTCTCTTTTTCTGTGCCAGATGGACTTGTCTCTGCTTGCGTTGTGAAGTACGAAGATTGAACCAAGGGAGTGTGCCTCTTTCTCTCCGGCCCATGATAGATAGTGACTGCTACTCTCAGTTGATACCCCGCATAGCGTGAAGAGGGAGCGGAGGATCCCAGAATATCTGTCGTTGATTTCTATTGACTTGCGGACCCCTCGGGGCCAGTTTATTTGAGTGTACCTTTTTAGGGTAAGTTAACCTGTGACCACGGGAATCGACCGCGTCGAGTGTTGGATCAGTACGGACATACGAAGGTACTGGGTAGAGA